AAAAAAAAAAAAAAAAAAAAAAAAAAAAGCACAAATCAATGTGGCACTTCTCATTGCCCCGCCCAGGCAGGGGCGGAGAAGGGCTTCACTGTCCTGTCTCCAGTCCAGGTCGACCTCACGGTCACTTATCCACCAAACAAACACCTGACAAGTACCTACCAGATCCCAAGTCTTGTTCCTGGCAGGTAACCCTCGGCCTATGGTTCTACAGCGCAGGCAGTAAATCACTAGGAGATCCAGAAATACGGAGAACCCTGCCAGGATAGAAGGAAGCCAGTCTGGGAAGTTAAGCTCCTGGTCCCCCTGTCTTCCTGGAGAACGGAGTATAGGGTTTAACCTAGGACTGCTCTTAAGAGTCCTAGGTTAAACCTAGGACTGCTCTTAAGAGTCTCTGTCTCCCAGTTCCCAAGGGGCTCACACGGCCCAGCACCACAGGAGTTCCTTCTCACTGTCCTGAATGCGAGTAACCTGCGCGCCAAAACCACAGCTTCTATCAAACACGAGCCTGAGTGACCTCAGCGATAAATGTCCCTCGCGCGACTCCGTAGTGACGCCCCGCCTCTTCCTGTTCCCAGGACATGTGGGGGTTGCAGCGGAAGTATATGCAAACTGCTGTGGACAGTGGTTCCGGGATGGTGGGCTTTGGAGGAAGCGCGGGCGGAGGCGGAGGTGCAAGTGGTGGCCGGGTGGGAGGAGGCCTCCTGGAGAACGCTAACCCGCTCGTCTACGAGCGTTCTGGGGAGCGGCCTGTAACGGCAGGCGAGGAAGATGAGCAGGTTCCTGACAGCATCGATGCGCGCGAGATCTTCGATATCCGCTGCTGCTGGGCGCGGGGCAGGTTTTCGGGTCCGTGGGAAGGAGCTGCAAAGTCCGGCAGTTGGTGGAGGTGTATTTCGGTCGGGTATTCCTGGCCAAGAGTTCTGAGTGGGGGAAAAACGTAAAGTCCTTTTTCCTTCATTTGACACATCTTATTCGCTCCATCAATGACCCGGAGCATCCACTGACGCTAGAGGAGTTGAACGTAGTAGAGCAAGTTAGGGTTCAGGTGAGTTACTCCCAGTGACAAGAGCAACCTGTTAGCGAGAGTCAGACTCCACTATACGTGGAGGAGTGACATTTTCTCAGCTCAGGGACACCCAGGGGGATCTTTGGAGGAAAGATTCTTGTGTCCATTTTATGAATGTTGAGACTGAAGCCCATAAAGTTTAGACGACTTGCCCAAAGCAACAAAGAAGAGACCCAGAGGGTTGGAGGTGTCCGTGATCCCTGATGTCTGTTCCTCACTACCACCAGGTTAGTGATCCCGACAGCACAGTGGCCGTGGCCTTTACACCAACCATTCCACACTGCAGCATGGCCACCCTTATTGGCCTGTCCATCAAAGTCAAGCTGCTGCGCTCCCTTCCCCAGCGATTCAAGGTCAGTTGGAGTTGAGCCTCGCGGGTGAAACAAGTGTAAGGGTCTGCTACTGACAAAGAGGGCAGCAAGAGCAAGAGCATCACAGTGGGGTCTAGAAGGGCTGCAACTAGCAGAAATGACATGGAGGAAACGTTCCAATATGATGGAACAAGGATAAAGACATGAGCTGAACAGTGCAGAAAAGTAGTGAGGAGTGTGGCAGGAAGGGAATTAGGGAGCTGTAGATGGATGTGGGTCAGGGATGGGCTGTGATTTGGATAGCTGGAGTTGCTGTGGGTGAATTTGGGGTGTAATGGAAGAGGTAATCCAGAGGTGTGATTAGGAGTCATCAGTTGGAGGAGGTACACTAGGGTCTAGGGGTAGGGGCCAAAAAGTTGGGTGGATCCTCAGGCTGAGATTCTCTCTCTCCCAGATGGATGTGCACATTACTCCAGGGACCCATGCCTCGGAGCATGCAGGTAAGTGTGAACTGATGGCATTGCTGATGTCCTAGGGTCTTAAATTGTCTGCTGCTTTCCCCTTGCTACAAAGTTTGTAAGACAGGATTAAGGTTGGGGACAAGGCAAGTAAAATTGCCAGAAATTCTTCAGTGAAGGTGGTAGCCTAGCCCAAAAGTAGCCTGACGCATCTTCTGCTTTCCATGTGCTCCCCTCCTACACTCTCCTAGTACTCCTGTCTGATGTGTCAGGATTCAGTAGTACTTGAAGCAGATATGAGCAGCCAGGTGGGAGAGAGTTGTAAGAAGGCAGGATAGATAGGGGTGCAGGTAGTTGGGGTAGGTTAAGCAAGGTTTGGGATCCCCAGAAGGTAATAGGAGAGCCTTATTGGTAGGACATTCTATACGAAAGCATAGAAATGGGGTTGGCTAGCAGCCTGGCCAGAGCCTGGCTTAGATTCTGCCTTTCATACATGTCCTTCCCACTTAGTGAACAAACAGCTTGCAGATAAGGAGCGAGTGGCAGCTGCCTTGGAGAACACCCACCTGCTGGAGGTTGTGAATCAGTGCCTGTCAGCCCGCTCCTGAGCCTGGATTTGACCTTCACCACGTACCAGTATCCTAATCTCAGCTTCACCTGGTGCTCATGGCTTGGTTTTCTTGAATCATTGACAGGAGGGACTAACATTTTGCTTTTTTAAATAAACCTTTAATTTATATTCATTTCCTGGTATGTCTTAGCATCTTTCATCTTGGTGGGATCACTAGCATTTGGGAGAAGATACTGGTAGTGGTATACAGTATGGATCAGTGTGTGGCAGTTCCTTTAATTTTTAAATGTTCTCCCAGTATTTTGACTAGGGAAAGTTGCAAGTGTACAAAAAGTATTGAAAGACTAATACATGAATATATCTATATACCAAATAATCTACCACTACATTCAATAGTTATTAACCTGTTAAAACACAGGCCTTATTTATGTGTGTATCTAAATATTATTACTGAATATTGGAGAGTAATCTGTAGAGACATGATCCTTTGCTTTCAAGTATTATGTCCTACATCTGCACTTGATAAGTCAGTAAAACCACAGTACTTTCACTTGGCAGAAAAAATGAGTAATTCCTCAACTCATATCCAGTCAAAAATGAATTTCCCCCACAAGGCATTCTTAGTAGTAGTTTTTTTTTTTTTTTAATCAAATTCCACTCAAGGCTTATCATGTATTGCATTTGGTTGTTGTCTCTCTTTAGCCTCATCTATAATGCTCTCTCAGCTTTTCCTCACTATAACAAATACCTAAGATAATCAATTTAAAGAACAGATTTTGGCTCACATTCCTGAATTTTTCAGTCTGTGGTTGGCCCCATTCTTTTGGGCCTGTGACCCACAACTGATCATGATGGAGAGGGCATGGTACAGCAAAGCCACTCACCTTATGGCCATGAAGCAAAAGAGAGAGAAAAGGACTAGGGTCCTGTTACCCTTCAAGGGCACCATCTCAACAACCTGAGACCTCCCACTATGCCCCAGCTTTTAAAGATTCTATCTCCCAATAGTGCCATTTCTGAGGAAAAAGCTTTTAATACGTGGGCCTCTGGGAGATATTTCCAAATCCAATCTATAATACCCACCTTTGTTTTGGTTTTCTTAGACAGGATCTCACAAGTAGTTCAGGCTGGCCTTGAACTTCCAGGGATCATCCTGCCTTAAATTTCTATGTGCTGGTAGTACAGGGATGTACTCTGTACAAGGCACTGCTATCTGCTGCCTCATCTTGATTTATAAGCAAAACTGGGAAACCTAGAAAGTGAATGTTTTGTGGTTTACCTATAAATAACAGTAAATACTGCAAAAATTTGTAGTTTTTGACCATGACTTTTTTGAAAAAGGCAAGTGAGCTATACAGAAGCCCTACAACCTGATTTGTTTCTTTTCTGGGTTTTCTTTAAACTAAAGATTAGTCTTGAGGCCAGAATGAGTCCAAATTTGAGGAGGATTTTTGCCCAGGATCGTATGTATCCTGCAATACCCACCAACAGATTGTGATGCCCACTTACCCTGCTGGTGGCGTAGAACAAGCCTGTCCCGTAGTCTGGTCCCAGGTCAGGGCACTGCTAAAGCTTTCTGTGCTAAAAGGATCCTGAGGAACCTTCTCTGTCAGCCCTCCCAGAGGTGCATGTCACCCCAGGTGCTGAGTAAGAGTGGAAGCTCAACTCCATGAAGTGATGTTGGTAGTTCTGGGGTTTCTGCCTCTCTTTAGCCCTGTCCACATAGTGCACTTGATCACACAGAGAGATCTTGGGCTTAGACCTTAGCCCAGCCGGTAAGAACTCTTTCCCAAAGCTCTCAGAATTTCCTACCGCAGCGTCTTTCTCTGAGGACAAATAGGAATACCCACTTCCTTTTGGAGCTCAGCTGTGATTGCCGGTTGTGATCTCAGGAAACCTCAGAGAGCCTGGGTACTTGACCATTTTTTTTCAACCAAATTCACAATTTATTTAGATGGAAATAAACTATACAAAATTTTCTTCACAAAATAACTGCAATATTTTCTGTATTATTTCTAGATAAGCCACAAAACATTCATTTTCTAGGTTTTGCAGGTTTTGCCTATAAATCAAAATGAGGCAGTATATAGACTCATGGAAAAAGACAGAAGAAAACAGACAAGGCACTTACCTATATGATGGCCTCTGATTCCATATGGACCATGAAGCAGAAGTGTTCCACATTTACCTGCTAAGAAGCTTATAAAGATGTAGGCTCAACAAGGGAATGTAAACACCAATAACCAGATGTGGAATACAATGGCAAACTTTTCCAATTAAATTTCAACTGTAGCCTCTTCTTTTAAGTTCACTTAATAAAGACAAAACCGATTTGTTCTTGAGGGCCCACTGACAACACTGAGCCTGTCCAGAGAGTGCACTGGGCTGAGGGTTTTATACTTTCTACGTAGATGATCAGTTTTCCATCCAGCCTGTGTGGCAGATGCTTTTCTTCCTTTTCTATCCCCAATTTGCAGGTGAGAAAACATGCTCCTAGAATAGTTTCTTTCTTAAGACTTCCAGCTAGGAAATAAAGGGAACCCTGAGTAGCCTGACAGGTGTTCTCTGGAAGGGGCATGATTACCTCCATAGAGGGACCTAGGCCCACCCCAGACCCCAACTCCTGTTGTGCTCACAATTTAGGAGTGGCTT